ATATATATATATATATATATATATATATATATATATATATATATATATATATATATATATATGATATATTATATATATATATATATATATATATATATATATATATATATATATATATATATATATATATATATATATGTATATATATATATTTATATATATATATATATATATATATATATATATATATATATATATATATATATATATATATATATATATATATATATATATATATATATATATATATATATATATATATATATATATATAAATATATATATATATATATATATATATATATATATATATATATATATATATATATATATATATATATATATATAATATATATATATATGTATGATATATATATATATATATATATATATATATATATATATATATATATATATATATATATGTATATATATATATATATATATATATATATATGTATATATGTATAAACATATACAAATTTGTATATATATATATATATATATATATATATATATATATATATATATATATATATATATATATATATATATATGTGTGTGTGTGTGTGTGTGTGTGTGTGTGTGTGTGTGTGTGTGTGTGTGTGTGTGTGAGTGTGTGTGTGTGTGTGTGTGTGTGTGTGTGTGTGTGTGTGTGAGTGTGTGTGTGTGTGTGTGAGTGTGTGTGTGTGTGTGTGTGTGTGTGTGTGTGTGTGTGTGTGTGTGAGTGATTGACATTTTACTGTTATTCCTCTCCTCATTCGGCCCTTCGCATCCTCTTACCAGTTTCGTCGTAGTAGTATTCTGTGTCTCCGTCGGTGCCGTCTCCCTCCTGGCCGCCGGTGCCATCTCCTCCGTCGGCGTTGTCTCCTCCTCCAGTGTCTGTTGATGGAGATCCTATAAAACTCATGTCGTAGTAATTGCAATTTCTTCAGTCATTAAAGCAGTGTAGAGCGTATTTGGATGTGTGATGTAATCGTTTTGTTTTGTTTTTTTCCCTCACGAAAGAAGAAGAGTTACATTATTAGTGTTTGTCGCGATTGTTCACATTTCCCCGCGGCGATACTGTGCTCTGGGAAATATCCCCATAACCTGTATTGTTATTGTTGTTAGGTTTACTTAGCTTCCACCAGACCGGGTTCCGCTGAGGCCTCCCGGAAGTGTGTGACTGAATTGCATTTATGCCCATAACCTGTAATTTGTGTTGACATGTTTTCCCTTTTTCTCTCACCGTCGTAGTAGTAATCCTGGTCGCCTTCGGTGCCGTCTCCTTCTTGGCCTTCGGTGCCGTCCCCTGGGCTCTCGGTATCGGCTGGCGGGGAAAACGGGACAAAGAATGAAATTTGTGTTTACCCTTTGACAAGCTATAGCATACATTTGGACAGTGTTTCACTTATTCATAGTTTTGATGCATTTCGTTAAGCAGTGCACCAAACGCAATGCAACGACATTTTCAACGACTCTTATTCTTACACAACAACCTACTTTTCTGTGACCCTTTGTAGGACTCTTTTACTCATTTTCTGCTCTTCGCCACAGTAGTCGTGTTCGCCAGATATCCAAGACGCACCTTTGCCGGCGCACTTCCGACACATCCCTTGAGACATTAACGTAGCCTTTCGTGCTCTCGAGCGCCTTGCCTATCCCATCCCTGTTCTCGGTCGAGCTTTGCAGCGCTTGTGTTAAGCATCTTGTTTGCTCTCCTCTTCCCTACCATCACTTCGATGGTCCTCTCGCCCGACTCGCTGCTGCCGGCCAGGGAGGCTGACGGGACTGCACGCAACCGAGGTAATAGCAACGAGGTCCCCGCGAGTTCCGCCTGCCAGCCGTCAACCGACCGCCTCTGGTTCCGAGTGAAGAACACTTCCTTCTGCCGTCTTCTTTGGCGGTTCATGGGTCTTTAGTCGTACACCAACTGTTCCACTTAGCGGCGCTGATCGTCCCGTTACTAAGATGCCGACCGCCTCCCATTACCCTGAAGGGCGGGAGGGGATGCGGATGTCCTTTTTTCGGTGACATCCTAAGTATTCAAATGACCATAGCCATTGATTGTTTCCAATCTGTTCTGTCCTTCTTCAGTATTATCAGCTACAGCAACCGCGCCCCCACCCTGGGTACCTCCCCTAACTCTTACCTGTGATGTCATTAGAAGCTTAAACTTAATCTGTCAGTCATGTTACCTGTTCAGTGGAGTCCATTACGTGTCGACAGTGACATCTTGCTATGCGAAACTTTCCACACAAGGGTACTTACGACTTTCGTCATAGTAGTAGTAATCTTCGTAGCCATCGGTGCCGTCTCCTTGCTGGCCCAGTGTATCTGAGAAGAAAGGAGATCGTTACCGTGACATTCAGACTGTAGTTAACGTCTCAACCTCAACTATTTTTACTATTATTAGCATTGCATCATTTTGCCTTTTTACGGTATTAAATGTAGCTGAAGGTAAAGCAATAAGTACTTACTACTTGCATTGTTATTTGTCACGTTTTTTTCATTCTGGACTGCGGAATCTGTCACGGGAAAGATCGTATTAATTGCGGTGCTTTCATCTACCTTACTATTCATACAAAATTTCATCCACCATGATAGTTCTGGAATTATGATTTACCTACCGCCAGTATCTTCGTAATACTCGTAATAGTAATAGTATTCTTCCTCTTCTGTAGCACTCTGCCTGGCTGCCCCCTGGCGGTAGCTCTCACCCTGCCGAGATGTCTTGTCCTTCACGGCTGCCGTTCCCTGGCGAATCGCGACGCCGTTCCCTTTAGCCGTTCCCATTCGCAGCTGAGTCCCTTGTATCTCGCCTTCAGGAACTTTCTTCCGTTTCTTCACACGTCTGACCTTCACGATGCTGTTGCCATGTCTCAGCAGCGTACCCGACCTTGGTGCTACTCCTGGGATCTTCTTCTTTCTTATCTTCCTTCTCCTCTGCGTCTTCGTTTCTCGCTCCGGCACCGTCTTCGTTCCGTCAGCGTTCGGTCCTTCTTCCGCCGCTGCTGGAAAATCGTTCGCTGGCATGTCTTCAGCAGGCGTGTCCGCGTGGTCCTCGCTCACGCCGGGGTCTGCCTGCGCATTTCTCTTTCGCCTGGTGAGCTCGAGGCCGGCCTTCGTCAGCAGGAGGACGAGACGGGACGCACGCGCGGGGGCTGTGGCAGAGGGAGAAGAGGAAAGCAGCGTGGGAATTCTGTTAGGGCGTGAGGTGTTGGCGAAACGTATCTCGTTAAATTCTGTGATTTTTTTCTCAACTTTATGTTTTCTTGATGTAGGCTGATGTACATGACGTTAGATTGTTATAAAGATATACCTAATGATTTTGGTAAAAGAACATTGCTTGCTTGTTTATGTGTCACGGTAATATTTTTACAAAGCAGTACTGTTAGAAGAGTAATTACAGAAATGTTGTAATTTGGAGTCAGGCAGAATTCTCTGACAATCTGCCAGTAGATCGATAAGCAGATAAATAGATTAGAGTGTGTGTATGTGTGTGTGTGTGTGTGTGTGTGTGTATGTGTGTGTGTATGTCTGTGTGTGTGTGTGTGTGTGTTTGTGTGTGTGCGTGTGTGTGTGTCTCTCTCTCTCTCTCTCTCTCTCTCTCTCTATATATATATATATATATATATACATATATATATATATGTGTGTGTGTGTGTGTGTGTGTGTGTGTGTGTGTGTGTGTGTGTGTGTGTGTATGTGTGTGTGTGTGTGTTTGAGTGTGTGTGTGTGCGTGTGTGTGTGTGTGTATGTGTCTGTGTGAGTGTGTGTGTGTGTTTGTGTGAGAGTATGTGCGTGTGTGTCTAAATATATATATATATATATATATATATATATATATATATATATATATATATATATATATATATATATATATATATATATATATATATATTGTGTGTGTGTGTGTGTATAAACACACACTCTCTTAAGTATATATAGATATAGATGTAGATATGGATAGAAAACTGTGTTAGAAAAAGGATACATCCAAAACCTGAATTTATGCATGTTATTAGATTTTTGTATATCATTGTGGTCTGACTTAAATCACAGATTATGTATGTTCTATCGGCGCCAGTGTAACGAAGCCTCACGAAATATTCATGTAATCTTACCTTTGCATATGGCTGTATACGTGTTTATGTATCAATCAGCAATGGACAAAGGCTTACCTTCTTGTTCCAGCCAGTCGGTAGCTTCTCTCTTCACCATATGTCGATGAGCCTGTGTGAGTCCCCGCCCTTCGCTGCTCCGGATTTTGTAAATAAGTAGACTTTCCGGAGGCCTTCCAGCGGGCACGGCACAGATCATCATGCTCATCACCATTATTACCGTCCCCGTCGTCATTAGGTTCTTGCTGCTCATTTTCCGAAAGTTTAGATGTTCTCGATGCTCAGTTCAGGAGGAACTGTCGAGAATTCAGAATCCCATGTCAGGAAACTAAGTCAGAAGTTCAAAACTCAGGCCGGTCCAAAAGTCAAAACTCAGAAAGGCCAGGAATTCCAAACTCAAAGTCGCCGGGAACTCGGACCTGCCAAGAACGCAATAGAGCTGCAGAAGCGACTACACAGAAGAGGGGACTGCGCTAGTGTGTCGTGCGCGCAGCGGTCGTGGGCGTTTCGGGTGAACTGAGTGCGTTGCTTTGGGCCAAAAGGGGGCGCGATGCAGCTGGTGGGAAAGGGGGTCCTCTTTCATTGTACAGCGTCGGTTATGAAACTTTTTTATGCAACTCAGATATTGTTTTGTGACGATTTTTTTTGCAAACATATTTTTGTTATTTCATTACGTATGTTTTTATTATTATTACTGTGTATTATTATTATTGTAGTTATTATTATCATTATTATTATTATTATTGTTATTATTATCATTATTATTATCATTATTATTATTATTATCATTATTATTATTATTATTATTATTATTATTATTACCATTACCATTATAATCATCATGATTAGTATATTTTTTACAATTGTTATTATCATTATTATTATCATTACCATCATCAGCAGAAGCAGCATCCTAATCGTTATCGTCATCGTTATCGTCATCATTATCGTCATCATTATCCTCGTCATCATCATCATCATTAGTAGTAGTAGTAGTAGTAGTAGTAGTATTGACCAACAGTATCATCGTGTTCATCTATATACCAGCAGTATTATCATCATTATTAACTTCCTTGTTACCGTCACCTTTATTTTAATTGATATAGGTAGTATTAGTAGCAGCCTACTGTCAGCTTTGTTACTCTTGTTCTTGTTGTTATTAAGAATCATTTCTTGTCTGTTATTGTTGTATTTTGATCAAAGTTGTTATTATTCTCATTATTTTTTTTCTGCCAAAAAAATATATTAAACACTGTATGCTTGGTGAGGCTGAGAGCTCTGCAGGACATTAAGGTTCATGCCGTGGTAAGAAACTGTGAGATAATGAGCTTAAGTGATCACCTGCTGAGCGTTCTTGACCCGGCGGGAGAAAAGCTGACCTTTGACCTTCAATTTCCTATGCATTTACTGATTACTTTGTTTAATTTCTTATTACATGTTTCATTCTAGTTTTGATAATGAAGGGAGTAGGAGTGTAAAGAATTTCACATTTCGAGGTTGTACTCTCTCTCTCTCTCTCTCTCTCTCTCTCTCTCTCTCTCTCTCTCTCTCTCTCTCTCTCTCTCTCTCTCTCTCTCTCTCTCTCTCTCTCTCTCTCTCTCTCTCGCTCGCTCGCTCGCTCGCTCATTCTCTTTCTCTCACTGGCTATAACTGCCTTTTGACTGCAGTAGCGATAACAATAGTACTAGCTACTATATGATGCTGCTATATCGTCATTGTTGCTGCTGTCATTTTTTTCGTTTTTTTCGTATCAATAATAATAGAAATACTAGTATGGTAAGGATAATATGCAGCTATAACATCAGTTTATTATTACTTATATAACTATAAGTAACTTAAAAGGCCACAAATACTGCTTTAATGAATGATGTTGTTACTGATTATAAGAACACTGTAACCGCTGTTTATGGTTGCGTGGGAAGCGTGACGTCATATCCCGTTCGTGTATTGTTGCACGTGTTTATTTTTTTCAAGCGACTCTTTAGGTCAACACTTCCCGTTTGCGCGTGGCGGGGGAGAGCATTGTTTTAAGTCCACCACTGAGTGCTAGGGTGGATTTGAGGGCTGTTGTGGAGCGGAAGTGAAGGTGGCGTGGGAGTGGAGGTGGAGATGGAGGTGAAAGGAAGTGGAATTGGATGGGATGACATAGGGGAAGAGGGTGGAGGTGGAAGGAAGTGGAAATGGATGGGATGACAGGGGAAGAGGGTGGAGGTGGAGGTGGGAGGAAGTGGAAATGGATGGGATGACAGGGGAAGAGGGTGGGGATGGGGGTGGAGGTGGATGGTGTGGGAGGGGTGGGGAGACGGGGGAAGGTGAGACGGCTCGATGCATGTTTTATGCATTCCAGCACTTGTCCTTCGCGGACAATGCTTTTGTGGCAGGTCATGGGTGAAAAAGTAGGATTTGTCTACTTATACATTTGGTGATATGTGTAGGAGTTGTGCCTTTACAGAATTCTCTACTCAATAAATCATGCAAAGAAACAGGGGCCTTTCTAAGTCTTTTATTTTAATCTAAAAGGGGATTTTAACCATATGGTAGAAGGTACAAACCGTATTCGGAGGCAGGAACCGGTAAAGAAGTGTGGGGGAGAAGAAGCACTGCGATATATACCCAATTAATAGGTATGCGAATGAAAATAAGGACTGAACGGATTGGGATACGTGCAAAATATAATGCCATTTTACAAAGTTATTATTGATGTTACTAAAAGATTAGAATATGTGATATTTTGTCTTGACCAGAAAGCGAAGCGAAGGGTCAAACAGTAAATCATAATGTACTATTGGACCATACGGTTCAGTGGTTGACTTTTATTATCAAAAATTGATAATAAAGTATGGAAAAAATGGCAGTGGCGACAGAGTCCGTATGAATGCAGACTATGCAATCTTTTGTTCAGATATTTTAATTGTTTTGTTTTTTTATCGTATGCCCTTGGCCGAAAAGGATTATTGTGTTAACTATTTGAACTTGCCTCATTTGCATACAATGCGACATGTAATCGTGATGCTGAAACGAAATTTGACAATCACTGTAGTTAATTATAATGCCCGATACGTTTCATTCGGGACGCGATCATTTTATTGTACTTTTCATGTTCGTTCATATGTATCCACCTATAAAGGATCTGTGTGTGTGTTTATGTGTGTGTGTGAATGTAAGTTTATGTATATGTGTATGTGTATGTATGTATGTAAGTAAATGTGTGTGTGTGTGTATATATATATATATGTATATATATATATATATATATATATATATATATATATATATATATATATATATATATATATATATACATATATATATATATATATATATATATATATATATATATATATATATATATATATATAAATATATATATATATATATATATATATATATATATATATATATATATATATATATATATATATATATATTTATATGTATGTGTGTGTGTGTCGCTTATGTTTTTGCTTATTTTCTTCAACTTATTTCGCTTCCCACTTGCAGGATCCTTCCCCGGGACGGCGAGCCCGGAGAGCGCCCTCGGGCCCCCTGCGCGGCGCCGCTCCCCCCAAGGGCGGTCGTCGACTCGTCCGTATCATGGAGCCTCGTCCCTCGTCCCGCTCTCTGTCGCCGCCGCGTCCCTCGCCCGCCGCTTCGTCATCGCCCTCTCGAGGTCGCTCTGATTCGCGCCCTTCATCGCGCCCTTCCTCATCGGGACCCTCCTCCAGGAGCCCTTCTTCGTCCCGTTCAGACCTCCTCTCCGACGCGCGGCCCTCTTCGCGCCCCTCGTCGGCACAGCTTTCGTCCCGGAGCCCATCGTCATCGCCGTCAAGAGGTCGCTCGCCCCGGAAAGCAGCCGGACCAAAGGGCCAAGTGGAGGACACCGCCGAGGGAAGGAGGGTCCCCCGCTCCCCTCCCCGGCCGTCGCAGACAGGCCCCTCTCCACCCGGAGGCGACGGAGAGGACATCGTGAGTCTGGAGGAGATCGAAGACGTGGTTCGGTGGGCCGAAGGCGTCCGCGAAGAGCTGCGCGGGGCGGAAAATGTCGGCGCGATGCCCGACCTTCTGCCGCCTTCCCGACTTTCCCTTATCCTTCAGCAGCTGGCTGACGGCACGTGAGTTTTCCTTCGGTTTGAAGTTCTGTTTTGTATGTGTATATTTTGCCTTACTTGGCTTATTATTAAGAAAATTGTGTGTCTCTACTGTATCCGTTTTCTGTGCTTTCGTATATATACAGAATTTCCTTCTATACAGATTTGATGAAGACAAGTACATAATTGGAAAGCGAGTCGATCACTATATGACTGGCGCCACTAATAATAAACGTGTAAGTATGATCACTGGCTCGTTTATGTGATAGTTCTTGCAGTTATTTTTATCTGTGATATATAGGTACATCTTATACAGTTATTCACTTCATCAGTGTTTATAAAATAAGGAGGTCATTCTTTGGTGATAATTACTTCCAGGCCGCGAAGAAAGAAGGCACGGGCTTGGGCTCAGCCGCATCTCCGACTTGGGCTCCACAAACCCGACGACCTGCCTGGCCTGCTCAGCCCAGGGCACCTCCCTCGGCGCCCGCACAGCCCCTTACTTCGCGGGGGCCCTCGCTCCCGGCGCCACACCCTCCGCCTCTCTTCTCACACCTCCCGAGAGACTTTGGCCCAATGGCTCCCTTGGGATCCCTGCAGGATTTCAACTACTCCGGCCACAGTACTTACAGAAGTGAGACAGTGAGAGCTCAAGAGAAGAGGAAAGGAAAAAGGGAATCCCAAAGAAGCCCTAAAGTGGCCGGCCAAGCAGCAGACAGCACTAAGCCGGGACAGAGAGACCAGGCAACGAGTAGTGGAGTCGCCACAAGAGATCAAGCCACAGACGGCGCCAAGGTCGTCACCAGAGACCAAGGCACGGAGGTCAGCGAGTCCCCCAAAAGAGACCAAGCCACAGAAAGTGCGACACGAAGCACGAAAACCATAGGAGTGCTCACCGATCCTGCGGTCTCACAAGGCACCCAAGCAGGGGGCAAGCAGGGCAGGCTCCAAATAGCCCCGCAAGGATGGATAAATATTCGAAATGAAAATGTCGCTGAGGTTCTTCCAGGAGTCTCCATTATCCCCCGACCACATCATAGCAGTAGGAAACAAACAACACACGCCCTTATGGAGTATGTCCATCCGAACTCAGCTACAGATGAATCGGCCTCGGAGATTGACGAGGCTTCGCGCAGACGTCTCCAAGGGGATGAAAGGAGCCCCG